GAAAAATAAAACAAAAGAAATAGACTAAAATATTTAAGATATGAAATTAAGCTAAAAACTAACACTAATAATAATATCAATAAACTATACAATATATATACTAAATTTATATACATACATACATATAAACATGCAGAGTAGGATGTACACAAGCAGACACACATATTGTAATATGTAGGTATATAAAATACGACCATTAAAAATCTAAATATCTATCAAATACATTATTTAACGATTTCATTAAAAACTATACAGCCATGATAGTAAAAGGCTTTTTTAGCACATTCCGTCCTAACTCTGGGCAAATGAAGCAAACCACTCTGCCTCGTAATACGTTGAATAATATCCCTATTATAAGTAAAATAATGCTTAAAAAACTGAGGTACGCGTCCAGCAAGGCATTTCCTAACTAACTTATAGACATGTTTATCTCGTCTAATTTGCARTGTGTCATAACTAAGTGATTTTAAGGCTTCATCACTGCTAAATTTCTTCATAATAACGCGCGCTGCCCTCCTTTGCAATCTTTCTAGCAAGTCAGCATTAACTTTCCCGCAGCAATTCCAGACTGTATCACAGTAGTCCAGAACAGGTAATATAAAAGACTTATATATCGTGTTAGCAGTGTTCATAGACAAATTATCTCTAATACGGCCTAATATGCCGAGTCTTTTTCCTGCCTTACTTTAACACATATTTAACATGTTCATTAAAAGACAATGTCTCGTCCAAGACAACACCAAGATAGGTGTACTGTGATTTACGCTTGATAAGATGGTCATTTATTGACACATCAAAGCTGGTTACATTAGACAGCCTGGCTCCGGTACCAAACAGAACAATAAAGGGAGTGTGAAAAGTACGGTACTGATCATTACTTGAAGCACGTAAATTATGGTACATGCCGTAGATATTTTGTATGAGTAGGAAAAGTACGGAAGTAAGTACACTGTACAATATGCCGTAGATTGATTTTAGTATGACTGGGAAAAATATGGTACAGACTTAGAGTATGTACACGGTACGACATGTGGTAACTTTGAAATGGGTTCCTAATGCATTTGTTCGTTTATGCTTAACTCTTTCTTAGCGATAACAGATACAGACGGCTAGTCTATGGATGAATTTGTTTAAGTAATCGTTCCCACTGGTACGAGAGTCGCTCAGTTCGTTAGAGAATATTGAATTGTCATGAAAGTTGACTCACCAAATTGACTGCTGCAGCTTGTTGTTCCACTGACTTCACCATTCTGATTTATTTGAAGAAATAATAGTGTTCTGCTAAATAGTTTGGTGTTAAGTTTTATTGAATGGAAGTTGGACAACTGTGTTGATGGCTTTGTTCGAAGAACACCGGTTGGCTGAGCAAATCCTTGGTGAAAGTTGTAGGCTGATATGGTTATAAGAACGGCAAGATAATACTTGGGATGCTATGAAGATAGGAGAGCATTAACAACAAGAAGAACGAGAAGGAGAACTAAGAACAAGAAGATAATGATAAAAGCAAACTGAAAGATAGAAAAACGAGAAACGAGAAAAGAAGGAAGGAAATGAGTGACAAAAACAGGAACAATAAAGAAAATATTATAATAGATAACGATAATACTGAAAAAGAAAAACAAGAAGATGACGAAGAAGTAAAAACTAACGAGGAAAAGAAGAAAAGTAAGAACAGGAAGGAGGAGAAGGAGGAGGAGGAGCAGAAGAAGAAGAAGAAGAAGAAAAAGAAGGAGAAGAAGAAGAAGAAGAAGAACTAAGTAGCCTAATGCAAGATACATAGAGGATGTTAAGCGGTGGCGCGAAGACATGAAGCCGCGGTTATCTTCGATTGGTGAATATTTTTTAACATGAGAAGATAAACTTCTTATCTTCAAGCCAACATGTAATTTTCTTTTTATTATATAGACACATTTCACAAACAAAAACTTGTTGAAAACACTGGAAAAAACGTCATCGATATCTTCTCTAGTAAAGATATGGAAAATGTGTTACTCAGGTCCCGGATGCAGTTTGTACGAAAAATACGAGTGGCGTATTTCCCAGTAAAACACGTCTATATAGTAAAATAAGATATATAAGATAAGAAAAGGCTTCATCAACAACAAAAACAATACCCCAGTTTCGAATTGTCTGTTCTACAGGGTTAGCCTCGATTTCGTATGGAAATACTTTCAACATTCATTTATGCCAATGAAGGTCCGTGGAATTTCGACTAAGTGTTTGTATTGTTGAAGTTGTGGATTCCTTACTTTACCGTTGGTATTTGTGAATATTTGGACACTGATCTCCAGGCTAACCCTGTATAAACGAGTCTGTGATCAAGGAACACAGCGGTTTTTGACTAATTCGATAATGGCAGGTCTATCCCATACCTTAATAAAAAACATTTTTCTTCTGTTTTTCTTTCTTGCAAGGCTAGCATTGGATACTGAGGTGTTGTCTGTTGAACAACAATATCTAAAATGCTAAGTAAACCTAAAAGTCAGACATATATATATGTCAGGCAGTCTTCCATAACAGAGACACAATATTTAACATACGTCATGGCTCTTGCTTTTCACAGCGCACTCTTGAATTAGAACATGACGTAATCTATATTCAGGTCTATCAGAAAGTTAGGTCTGGTGGAAAATTTTTCTGACACAAAAAAAGAAGAAGAAAAAGAAAGAAAGAAAGAAGGAGACAAACATTTTGACAATTGTTCAGCTTTTTTTAAGTATTTAAAAATTATTTTCTTTTGCCGTTAGTTCTTCATAAAATATATTTGTTCATACTGATTAAAATAGTTTTAATCAACCCGTGAAACAAAGTGTATTCAAGTTAATAAAATAAAAAAAAATAAAAAAGAAATAAAATAGAATAAAATAAATAAATAAAGTGCAATAGTTGAAAACACACTATCATCTGATCATATTTATTCACGGCTTTATGAAAATAACTCTATACTTTGAGTAAAGAAAAGTTTAAAAAAAACTGGATTCGTTTGTTTACATTAAATCTAGGTGGTGAGCTCATTTAAGTCTTCCCACGCTGTTAGAACAAACCTCTTATCACAACGGATATTACTCATAGACAACCATTGAGTAACCAAAGAAGCGTATCATTAGCAAATTTGCACACAGGAATCATCACGATCAGCAGGAACTAATAAAATATCATTACAAATATATAAATAAGCTGGCTCACTTAAACTGCTTCAAAGATGCTTTCCGGTAAAGCATCATCGCCGGAGAATTTTGATTTCGACTCAATTTTTCCAGGATGGAAAACCAGAAAAAGAAAAAAGAAAAAGAAGACATAGTTTTGTTTTGCAATAGACGTAGCTGGATGCCCGCAAGAAAGGCATTTCCGTCTTATTCTATGAGGAACGATTTTGAGGTTTTGACCGCAATAATGACACCATTTGGAAGACTCTTAAAATTAACGATGGTTAAGTTTCAGACTTCATTGAATTCAACAACCAATGAAAAATATAAATGAATGAATACAGTGATATCTTAGCAATGAAGTTACAAAAACAAATATGACAAAAATCTTTTTTAGTCTAGAATTATTCTATTTATATCTAGTTAATATTCTATTAATATACATTTATATTACATCCTGTTGTAAATCTCGCTCCTTTGTCTATTAAGTAGCGTTACAGGCGTGTCTTTAGATTGTTATGCTATTCTGCTAGCTTGTGATATGAAATCTAAACATAGGAGCATCAGCTAAAGGATATTAATTGTTTATAAAGATGTTTGTCATGAATATCATCGTCACTGTCATGGCATCATGATTATCATCACAATCACCACCATCATCACCACGTGATCATCACCTTCCACCCACAGCATCCGGTAACCGCCACTGCACTTATTACGTCGAGTCATTAACTCAGCACCATTTTAAAGTTAGGATCACAAGACAGCAGTTGGAATTACTACAAGATGTTTTACCTAGCATCGTACGATTGTCTCTCTATGGCTGTCGACAAGCCCCAAAAATATTGAAGTCATCAAACCCCCCTCCCTGATCAAATCTACGAAAATATAATAAAATTAAATAAAATTAAACAGAATTAAAACTTACTAGAACCTACTTTTCAAAGCAGGAGAGGAGAGGAGAGGAGAGGAGAGGAGAGGAGAGGAGAGGAGAGCAGAGCAGAGCAGAGCAGAGCAGAGCAGAGGAA